TTCTAAATTCCTGGCTTATCCATGGCAACATCACAATAGGGCAATACCCACACTACATTACGGGAGGGATTGTGATACAAAATAAGGATAAATTGATTGTTGAATAGAGAATTTTATTTACAAAAGTAATCTATTTTTCTAATATTCAACAATAGTGACTTTCACGTCTAAATAAAAGTGCTCCAAGTGCAATATTTTAGACAAAGAACAGTAATTAAGAATACACTTCCCTTTTTGGATATAAACCCGAAGATCTCCTCACAACAATCTTCACAATAAAGTATATATATAAATGGGGTAAATCCATTTAAGGGAAGAAATAACACAACATAGTGCAGAACTGTGTGTTTGCAATATTTAAATATGAGACAAATGGCCACTCTCAATGGTAGGAAATAAAAGAGCATTCAAAGTATATACAGGTGCAGGTCAGCTGGTGATTCAGGAAGATGGGTCCCTCCGAGTTATAAAAAGAAACAACAAAGTTTCCAGTTATGAGGCAATCCAAATAAAAAGTGTAAAAATGTATTTATTAACTCACATAGAAGTTGACAGGTATCAGCATAAAAGCGTTTCATCCCATTTAGGGACTTCCTCAGGGACAATCAAACAATCACCAAGATCCAGAAATTATATAATTTAAAGGAGGCGATGATGCCTATTTTATTAAGTTAGAAAAAAGAGACGAGAAAATGGAGAGAGATATCTTACCTAGAACGGGATTTGAAAGAAGGGTTAATCCCTAGAGGGTTAAGAGTGGAGAAAACTCCAGTCTATAGCATAGAAAATGAGGGCTTCTTGAGAAAATAGGATGAAGTACTAGAAACTTGTTCCCAGAATCTCATGAAGCTAATTATTGACTTTGAAAAAGAAAATAGATCAACCTTGGAGGAAGAAATAGTAATAATGGAAACACAGGAGGAGATTAATAAGGATACATCTCAATTTAAAAAGAAAGAACAAGAAATAACCATGAGAATTAAAAATAAATGCAAAGAGACAAAAAATGATAAAAAATTTTAAAATGTTCTCTACAGCAAATAGGCTAAAGAATGTACGTAATAAACTACCCTTTAAAAGATTCTACTCTGAATCAAATTATAATCAGAAGACAAGATCCCCAATTAGAGTTAATTGGAGGAAAAAAGTACAATATCATGATAGGATGGAGAAAACACCTTCTAATAAAACCTATAATACAAGTAAATTGTATACACATACATCTAACTAGAGGGACATATTTTCCCATGAGAATAAACATCCACCTA